CAAAAACCAATCCAGATATTTTTAAAAGATCAGTGAAACTATACACTTTCAAAAGACAGGATAGGACATTTCTGGTGTGTTTCTTAAACATAAAACACAAAAGAAGTCAACTAAAGGAAAATATTGGTAAATACAAGTACATTAAAATTAAAAACTTATAGTTGACCCAAAGATACTAAAAAAAAGTAAAAAGGCTAACATTGAGAAAGTTATTTATTATCTGTGTTTATGGTTGTATTTAGGCTGACACAAATATACTACCTGTATATCAATAATAAAATCCTTCTCTGAATAAAAAAAAATCTAAAAATAATTTAAGAAATGTCACACAGAAGTGAGTCCAAAATATGTATCTCATCAGAGCTCAGAGGAATGTAAACCCCACAATGAAATTTCATTCTACATTATTAATTTAGGAAAAAAATGCTAAAAATGTGACTCTAACAAGTGTTGTATAAATGTGGATCGAGGTGATCTTTATTACTGGAGATAGTGTTAGTTTGGAAAACCAGTTTAGGATTCCTGGTAAAGTTGGGCATGTATGAGCCCTACTGCCCAGAACTCCTACCTAACATATCTAGGAGAAAGGATGCTCATGAATGTTTACAAATACATCATTTATAATGAAAGAAAATCTCAATGCCTGCCCATCAAAAGTGGAATAAATAAGAAACTCATAGTATCTTTACACACTAAGATGTTTCATAGCACTGAAGTTGAACAAAACCAAATCTACCTGCATCATGACAGCTGGGTCTGAAAATCACAATGCAGAGCATGAGAACTAAATCTCAGTAGAATGTATATGCTCTGGATCCGTTCATATATAGATTAGAAACAGCAGTGACCAAAGAATACACATATGCATGATTTTAAAAAAGCTATGAGAAGGAGAAAGGGACTGATTAACACAGAATCCTTACTGGGTACCTGCGAGGGAGCCCTCTGGGGCATCTGGGTTACTTTTTGTGACTGATAGTTGAGAGGGAGAATCCCTTTGGCATACATGTCAAGGACATTACCCTCATTCAGTGTTAGTGACCATACCTTTTTTACAGGTCCACTTACACCGCTGTGCTCTCTGGTATTTAATGCTTATGGTATTGTAAATTCTACTTATTTGGTTTACAATTTCTCTAATTGACCTATAGGCATGTCCAAATATTAAATTGTTAACTAAATTAATACTAATGAGGATGACTCTTTAATAATTATTGAACAGAATATAAACATTTTAAATCTTGCCAATGTAAATAGGAAAAGTATAGCTGTTTAGAGTTGAGAAAGAGAGGAAAGATAAATGGAAGAATGTACAGGTGGATTCCCCCACTATACATAATATAAAGAGCTACTGTACTGTCAGAAGTTGATTAATCAAGAAATAGAAGGCCTGGGGATTTAGCTCAGTGGTTCCGGCGCCTGCCTCGCAAGCACAAGGTCCCAAGTTCGATCCCTGGCACACCAAAAAAAAAAGAGAAAAAAAAAAAAAGAAATAGAAGATTAAATATATTTAAAATTACAAATACCTACTAGAGACACTAAAAGTAATAACAACGAATAAAAATTGTGGGGGAGAGACAGTATGTTAAATATCTTATCTCTTGTTTTTCATATGAGAGATTTTTAGGTATATCTAAAGTTGATACCTCTACAAATAAAAAATAATAGTATGTGACAGAGTAATGAATCAAGGGCTAACAGGATTAGAAACAAAAGCAAGCAAAGTCATTACTTTTCCTCTACTGTTTGAAAGTAGAAAGACATGAATTATACAATTGAAGAAAATTGGTAGCATAGCCAACTTTTTTGCTGCAGCAGAATGCAGTGTAATATATGTCTATTTTGATTCCCTTTTCACAACTCTTGTCTGGTCCATATCATAGCACTGCTGATGAAGAATGGAACCCTCCAGCATCACAATCACTTTAAGTGTTTAAGGCCATGAATTAGATACTACTTATTCTTTCCAGCCAGAGGACCAGGAATAAAAGTCTTCAGTACATTTATTGAATTAGAAAAGTAGCTACCAAAAAAAATTTTAAGTGGCCTATTAGAGCTGTTTCATACCTCAAACTACATCCATCTCAGGGGTGTATGTACCTTTAACCTCGTCTGCTTTTTTTTAAGTGCTAGGGATGAACCTAGGCCAAACACTGTGCCACTAAGCTACACCACAAGCCCAGACTTTCTTCTTGAGCATGTAGTTCTGTATTAGTGACAGACCATCAAGACATACATCAAGTTGAAAATACATGTACCATGTACATAAGTATACTCTATCTATAATTTGCACTCATCAGCATAGTCCTTTCTGTAGCTTATTTTTCTTCCTTTCACCTCTGTAACTATATTTCCACCTGCCAAATGACCACACTGCACCTGAGCAAGACTTTTATGTGCTGCTTATCAGTGACCAATGCAGGATCTCTCCCAAAGGGCCCAGCGCAGTGAGATCCATTGTGAAGGCAGCTAAAATTAACAAGATGAACCTAGCAGTCCTTTGATGGGGAGAGGGGGCTGTAGGGAAACATCTCCTGAGACCTAAATTTAAAAAAATAAATCTCATCCTGAGAATTTTCTAGCTCACCTTCAACATTTCCACTTGTGTCCTGACAAACAGACTATGATTCCCAATGGTTTATGCCCTTAACATTTTAAATTAACTTCAGAAATTGCATCACCTAAAATTTCAAGATGTCAGGGTAGGGGAGAGCTTTGCATCTTATTCTCCCTGTCTTAATCACAAGCTTACTTCTACCCAGAAAGGCTAATTCATTATCAGCCCTGAAGTTGCTAGGAGTGCTCATTTCTGAGCTATTCATGATTATCCTGTTTGCCCCCTTGGTATCCTTCATATTTGCCAGAACCTATTCTGTTTTCCCTGTTGCCACAACATAAGTGCTGCTAAGAGCAGAGATAACCAGCCACAGCTTTGCAGCTTTGTCCCCCATGCAGAAGCCAGCCCAGGACTCCTTCAGCCCCCAGTTCCCATGTGCAGTCGAGCTTGTGGCCTCTCAACCTGCGGGTTATTTGGCAGCATTATTGGTCAAGGTAAAACATACTTATTCAAGCATCCCAACAAGGCCTTTTTTTATGTTATTGATTCCCTGTTTCCTGACATCAATTATTTGGAAATGTTTACTATCACCTGCTACTGCTGAGCCTGCTGCTTTACATTGTTGATTATAATGCTGTGAGGCTGGCATAACTACGGGCAGCTATGCCCTAGGGAAAGGAACCGAGTTCTCCAAATTAAAAGAAAAAAAAGGGGGTTGATCCATTTCAGAAAAAGGTGATCTTCATTCATTCAGTTTTTTCAGACATAATGGAGGTGTTATGACTCTCTGTTTTTGAATTGGCAGGAATGATGCTTACTCTATGGAAAAACAATGCTGCAAAGTGCCAAATTAGGTTAGATTCCAGCACAGAAGCCAGCTGACCACACATTACATGTCTCCTAAATGAGCACACTGCAGCCCTGCCCAGAAGACCAAATAAAAAATAGGAGCACTAGAGCAAGTTTATTAATTTGTTGCCCTGCTTTTATATCAACATGTTGCATGTGGACAGGGGACCTCAACATGCCCAGTATTTGTCCTCAGTATGCACTTTATGGTTTTTTTTGGTTTTCCCCTAAATGACTGGTTTTTGAGTCAAGTGGCTGTCTCTCTTGGGCATCAGCACTGTGTACACACAACACAGTTGTGTCTGAGATAGAAACATGAACTCCTCAGCACTGTGTCTTCCTTTTCTCCCAACTGTTTAATTTCCCGTAAGAAACAAAGAAGAAAATGTGAAATTTGCTCTTGAGCTCAGTGAGGACAGTATCTTCAGGATGTGTTCATTAAATAATTTAAGGGGTCCTCATTCGTGAGACAAAGGGATCACCAGTTATTGTCCACAGCTGACAAATGGAGCTGGGCACAGTGAATAGGCCTGCTGGCCTGAGCAGTAGCCTGAGAGGTCCTAGGTACAGTAGGGGTGAACCCATGGCACATGTACCACAGCCAGCTGTTTGTTATCATTGAAAACTCTAAAGGCTTCACCGTTACTGTCCTAGGGGATGTCCAGGTCTGCCCTGAAAGAGCACAGCAAAGCCAGCTGCTGCCACCCTACCCATTTCTTGCAGCTCAGAATCTGTGTGGGATTTATTCAACTCTTGCACTGTGCAGCCATCTGCAGCTGACTAACACTCTCAGGCACAAAGGACCCTGCTCCTTCCATCCTGGCCTCAAGGAAATTCAAGAAGGCTCCTTCCAAAATAACGATGCCTGCTTCCAATCACCATTTGGTCAGGGATTAAGTATTATGCTATGCCTGTTGCAAAAGGAATTTTCCCTCAAAACTACACAAAGTGAGGTGTTCCTGCCTCCCTGAACTAAAACCCATTAAATCCCCCGATGACCGCATCCCACAGAAACATTTTTGTAACTAGCCTCTCGGAGGGTCAGGAAAGATTTGTGGTTTACATCTTATTCTGCTTTAACTGGGGAGCCCCAAAACCTGCTGCCAGGGCGCTCTGCGGGGTAGAATTCTTGGGAACCACACAACTCCAACCTCACGGTTCTGTGAAATTTTTTGGTCCAAATTCTGATTAAGCCTGACCCTATTTGGCTTGTTAGCAGAAAGGATCAAAGTTCCAAGTGTCTTGGATGTAGAATGCTAATGGGTTTATTTCCTTAAACTTTCTGTAAAATGAAATGGAAAGAAACTGATTCCATCTGTAAGATATTCATCTTTTGGCAGGGTCTCTACTCCAAGTCTCTAGTGTTTGCAAATAGTTCCTTAGTACCTACTCAGAGCTGTGCCTGGGCAATTGCATTGCAAAGACGAGATTATTTTGCAAATCCGCTTCTCAGGCAATAAAAGATGTTTTAATAGCCTCCTGCTGCACATTTTGAAAGATTTTTAATAGGAGCATAGAAATATATTTAATCTCTCTTAATTCTTAAAGATGGCAAGACTCACATGTTGGTATTTTTTTCTGCTCCCTTTTTAAGAGAAAGGTGATGCTGAGCCAGAGAGTCCAGACAATGGCGCATCGAATACATCGTAAGTCTCTTTCATGCTTCTATCAGAAATTACTGTTCTTTAATATGTTATAAAATGAAACAGTGCAAGCATCTTGTAATAGTGATCATAAAGGAAGGAAACCCATGGTTCTCTTTTCTCATGATAATGTCTTTTTAAATGCTTTTGGGCACAAATGCATGCATTTTGAGGTCTTCTGCTTTAGCATAGTAAGAGGAATCTCGAAAATGCAAATGTTCCTCTTTATAAAATAGAAATATAATGAAATGTGAGAATGTGTAGTGGGAAGAAGGGAAGTAAGCCCTTTCAAATTTGGATAGCCACTTTCAGCACCTTTGTAAGATGGTACAACTTTTCACACATACTGTGCCACACACCTGTGCCACACACCTGTGAAGTAGCCAAGTCTCTTTAAAAGCCTGCCATCTGTAATCTCACTTCTGAATTATTTTTTAAAAATACAATTATAGATATCACTGGAATCTCAAGAGTTTGTGTCTTTAACAAAGCAGTTTTAAGCTAAGAAAACACACTTACAAAGCATGTGTTCCTTGCTGTGTCTTGTCTTTCTTCTTCAGTATTCAAGCCATCCAAATACATTTTAATGATTAATTTGATGCCAAATTCATGTACCAGTATTTTAAAAAGGGTTAACAAACTATCAAATTATTTTTATTTTATCTCCACAGGAATCAATAACAGGTTTGCTCCTGAAAAATCTTTATATTTATCAGTTTAAAGAGTGAAATATGGCTTTTTTTCATTGTAAAACAGGCTTTGTGAATTGTATGTGTTTGTGGTTCAGTGCTTCTTCTACTAATCATTTAAAGTGCTGTGCATTAGAAATCTCATTTTGTGGTATAATGTTGCATATCATATTTTGTCCAAGATCTGTTTCTCAGTGTAGAAGGTTCCTTTGGCTTCACTGAATAGCTTATATAGTTTGTAATACATGAGGTTATGTGTTTGTCTTCCTAAAGATACTAAAAGTTCTAAATAGTTCCATTGTGTGATTTCTGATGATGCAATGAATGTGACTGATCTTAACTGGTTAAAATATTATTAATTTTTAATTTTTTTCTTTTGGGGCTGGAAAATATAATCCAAAAAGGGTTTTAATGCCATCTGGAGGCATTCTAGAGCACTGAAAAGGGTAGAATCTGGAAAAATTTGTTATTTTGAGTAACATTTAGACTGGATCAGGATTCACACAACTAGACGGTAAGCTACTGGAGAATATTTTTTAGAAATTATTTAGCAAGTCTATTAATTATTGCAGATACAACAATTTTTCAAATTCTCCACAGCAAAATTATTTCAGAGACAGAGAAAGCCATTAGAAAACTGCTAGCACATTATGTTTAATTTCACATATTTTAAAATCCTTTTCATCAGACACCAATTTTGTAAGGCTTGATGTACCATTAACATTTTCCTTCCCTTATATTTCTAAAAACTCCCTTCCCTAAAAGCACCCATTACTCAGTACCTTATTTCTTATAACATGTATAAAAACAAATAAGTTGTCTGAGAAATTACTTTTAAATCCTCTGAAGATATAAGAACTGGAGAAGCCTGAAACATTACCTAACATCCCTTCTTCTCTGAGAAAAATGGTTCCCCAGTCACCAGCCTCTTGAGCTAGAAAAAGAAAAACAGAAATAAAGAATCTCTCTTAAAAGTGGAGAATGCTGAACTTGGCATCTCTTGAAGAGCCCCCCTCACCACGGTTCTCTTATAATTGGACAACAGGAGCAGCATGTTATGAACAGAGTGAGATTTGGGATGCCTTGGAAATGGGTAGCATTGACATTCTTGTGTGCTGTACCTCTTTTGAGCTTTATTGGGTAGATATAGAACTTTTATTACAGATAAGAAATCCGAGGATCAGAAAGGTTGTTCAACTGAAGTAATAAATTAGAACATAAATCTTTTTTTTTTCTTTGGCCATTTACCATACTGAGGGATCAGTGGGTCTCAAGGGGCATGAGTCAGAATCAAATAAAAATACTGAGACTAGATATCTGTTAAGCAGCAAGTGTAATCATTTGCTCTGGCTGCCATAGCAGTACCACAAACCAGGGGCAAACTTACACAACTGAAATGTATTTCTCAGTTCTGGAGGCTAGAAGTTCCAGATCTAGGTGTCAGCAGGATTGGTTCCTTCCGAGGGCTGCAGGGGAGGGAAGGATATGTTCCAGGCCTGTTCTTGGCTTATACATGGTCATTGTCTCCCTATGTGTCTTCACACCATCTTCTCTCTATACATATGTGTGTCTGTATCCCATAAGAGCCTCCACCAGTGCTTGCTTTGGCAGCACATACACTATAAGAGCCTCTGCCATATTGGATTAGGGCCCATTCTAATGATTACCTACTCGATTGCCTCTATGAAAACCCTGACTCCTTTTAAGGTCACATTTTGAGGCCTGAAGGTTAGGATTTAAAAGGGAAAGGGGGTAATTTATTCCATAGAATTAAGGATCAAAGAAATAAGAATGACTCAGTAGCCAGGTATACAGAACAAGGAATGTGCAAAATCCGGAAGATAGAACAAGGGGAGGGATCCTACATAAAACAGACAAAAGGTTATGGACTCCCTGGGCACTAAGAGGGTGAATCAGAGTAAAGGAAACTAGAGATACCAAACCAAGATATTAGGATAGATTCCTCCTGTATCCTTGGTGTAGTAGGATGGACTTGGTCTCAGTAGTACCTGCACATCTCTCTGACTATACCAGTCTGTGATCCTGAGAGTCATGTGAATCTGTTATATGGACTAAAATTATAGTGCAAAGTAAGGAGTCTTCAGACAGAAAAGCTCATTCCCGAAAGAATCATCTTTCCTCCCTGGATGCCCTTAAAAACAATCACTGCTAGTAGGACAGTAGTGTGGATAATACTTGAGGATCTCCTTAGACTTAATTGATCCTATGAGTATTCAGGAAGATGAAAGGAACAGTTTCATCATTTATCATCATTATCATATAGGAGAGAGCCAGAGTTAAGAGAGTACCCAGTTCCATACATAAGTACCTAAATATGCATCAATCCTTGAGTAACCTCTAAATCGTATATGTACAGGAAGGCATCAAAGAACTCAGTAGAAAACTGCCTACAGCTACTGCCTATAGATTCTGGAATTTGAATCTCACCCATGTTAGAGGCGCTAGGTAAACAACTTTTCCAGCTCCAGAAAGTCTCTGCCTTCAAAGTAAGAGTCACCTTAAAACTAAGAGCAAATCCAAAATAGATCCCTCCTGACACAGTGTAACACCAAGCATCTAATAGTACAAGCTAATTAGCTAAAGACTTAATTGCCTGATAGAACAAAAATGTCAACACTTTCTAAAAGATTTAAACATTGTCTATAATCTCTATAACACATCATCCACAATGTTTGGTATGTAATCAAAATTAAGAGATGGAGAAATAGGAAAATGTTATCAGTAGTCAAGAGAAAAAATCTAATAGACTGCAAGATGTCCTGATAATTTGAATTTTCAGACAAGAATGTTTTTAACTATTATAAGTTGTTTTAAACTATGATAATGTCCAAGAATGTCAATAAAAACATGATCATTATAACTAAAAAGGGGTGGATCTCACCAAGGAAATGTGAACCATTAAGAACCAAATGCAAATTTTGGAACTGAAATGTGCAACATTTGAAATGAAAAATTCACTGAGTAGTGTTAAATAAATGATGGAAATGATGAAATGTCAGACCAGATCAATAAAAATTATTCACTGATCAATAAGAATTATTCACTGTGAAGAATAGTGAGAATAAAGATTTTAAAATGATGAAAACAGCATCTGTGATTATGTGATATCGGTGAGTCTAAATTCATTGGAATATCAAAAGAGAGAGAAAAAATAGACTGGAAAAAATTATTTGAAGAAATGACAGCTGCAACATTTCCAGACTGAGTGAAAACATTCATTTAAAGATCTAAGAAGCACAGCAAACCTCAAGCAGAATAAATACAAAGAAAACCACACCCTGTAACACTGAAGAAAACTAAAGATACAATAATTAGTATAGATTATGAACCATCTGGCAATTAATTTGGTAACATAGATCAAACAGTTTTCTTGGGAAAAATGGAATTTATCATAATTGCCACAAGATGAAACAGAAAATTTGAATGACTTTCTTCCTATCAAACAAAACATTTCATAATGAAAGCTTTTCCACAAAGAAAATTTCTCCAGGACAGACGACCTCCCTGATAATTTCTATCAGAATTTTTTAAAATGTTTATACCAATGGGACACAGTAACCAAACTACTAGTCTTACACAAGTTCATTCAAAAATTAAAGGAAGAAGGAGAACTACCCAATTCATTGTATTAAGCCAGGATAACTTTGAACCAAAACTTGAGTCAAATATATAAAAACAGAAAATTATAATTCACTATCTACCATAAACATCAATGCAAAAATTTATAATGTATCTGTGTGTTTCTACTTATTAGAAATAATAAATTATAAAATGAAATTCATTTATAAGAACATAAAACAATAAATTTAACAAAAGACATATGAGACAAGGATAGAAAATAGAAAGCATTTTAAGAAATAATTAAATTTAAGACCTAATTAAAGGGAGAGAAGTAAAGAATTAGAAAGCTTGACAATGTTGGTATCTTAGTTTTTCTCATACTGATCTATACATTCAACACAATTTTGATCAAAAGGCCATCAGGATATTTTTGTACACAGTGCTTCTATTGGTTACTCTAAAAATGTTGAGAAAAGCAAAGGACTTTTGTACCCATAACAATCTTGAAGAACAAAGATGGCAGCCATTGATTTCAATATTAACTATAAAGCCAAAGTAACTTAAGATAGTATGGCATTGACATAAGAACAGACAAATCAATAGAACAAAACCAAGTCTAAAAAGAAACCATACATGTATAGTCAGTCAGCTGACTTTCCACAAAGGCACCAGAGCAATTCAGTGGGGAAAGTCAAGTGTTTTCAAGGAATGATGCTGGAACAACTACTGGAG